GAAAGGACTGATGCTGAAGCTGCAGCTTCAATACTTTGGCCTCCAGATGTGAAGAGCCGACTCATTGGAAAAGACGCTGATGCGCGAAAGATTGAAGGCAGGAGGAGAAGGAGGTGACAGAGGATGAATGGTTGGATGGCATCACTAAATTGATGGACATGAGTCTGAGCAAACTCTGGAAGATAATGAAGGACAGGGAAGCCTGGTGTGTTGCAGTCCATGGGGCCACGGAGTCAGACATGACTGAGGGACTGGAAAACAACGTAAGGTCAGGGTGAAGTCCGCCACTCATCCGATCTCCCCTGAGGAGGGGTGGACCCTGGAGACCCGTGAACAGCCAGACAGGCAATTCTCCCGTCCTGCCCTCTTCTTCCCTGGGGCATCCACACTTCGGTGCCATCCAGGGTCCCTGGTGTCCCCAGATCCTAAGATGAAGCTTAATGTCATCACTGAAGGAGGTCAGGCCATTTCCCTCTCATTTGTTTGTTTGTTCGATACTAGATTCATAACAGTTTGGGGGATCTGCCTTTTTTTACCGGACATGGGTACTACAGAAACTTACCAGATAATATGACCTTCAACACATACCAACTCAACACAAAAATATTTCCCGAAGGACATGCATCCCATGTGCTTTTTCTAGATGCTCTAACATCTGTCTTTGGATTAAATCACACCACCAGAGTTATGCACCTGGTCCCGTTGTTCAGCCACGTGGCACCCATGGGACGCCCCTCTTTTGAGGACCCACTCTCTAGCCACCCACTTTCAAACCGTTCTTCAAATGGACACAAGCCTCTCCCCAGCGTCTCCACGGACCTCTCCATTAGAGGGCGGACCTCTCCGTCAGAGGGCAGACCTCACGGTGGGTGTGGCCCACCCACAGATCCCCCAAACTGTTTGGCAGATCCCCCAAACTGTTATAAATCCAGTATTGAACAAACAAACGAGAGGGAAATGGCCTGACCTCCTTCAGTGATGACATCAAGCTTCATCTCAGGCACTTGGCATGGCAGTCTGCTACAGGCTGGGTGGAACTTGGACACGTGGGCAAGCAGGCCTGAGCCCTTTACGTGGGCTGGAGCCAAGGTGGGGTTAAGGGAGGGTGGGCTGCGGGCCTGGGGTCTCCCTGTCAAGGCTTGCCTAGGTCTCATGCATGTCAGGTGAAGACTTCTGCCCTCCTCTCCAGGATCGGTTCAGTTTCCCCAGATGTTGCTGCCCTGCCATCAGCCGGCATTGATGGCAGGATGACAGCCAGTCCAGACACGCAACACCGTGGTCCTTGGACCCAGGACTTGCCCATGGGGCTGAGCACCAGGAATCTGCATTCCTTTGGAAGGACTTATTTCTCTTTGGGTCACTATGTTATATGATCTTCTGGCCATGTTTCCTTTTTTGTTCTATTTGTTGCTAGAACATTCAGCATTCCCTCACAAATTTACCACCTCATGGCATTGCGCTGTACCAACCAAACGCAGACCTTATCTCATTTTTCCTCTTAATTTCCCTTTACCCAAACACCCTGTTTATACAAGCTTGGCAGAGTGTGTGTATTTTTGTAAATCATCTCCTATCCTGTTAGGACAGGGCTGGATAGAAGAGAAAAAGGGTTCACCAACCATACAATGGGCACATGGGAGCCCCACTCACATACCCGCTTCATTCAGTATTTTGCAAACCAATGAATCAGTAATATCAGTGCTAGTTAATAAGCTGGCTGTGAGGACTCAGCATCTGGTAGGTGGGGGTGGGCACGGCTCACCATCCGCTCCAGACGTGCATTCTTGCACCTCCCTACCGGGGGTAAAGGAACCTGCTTCACAACTCTGGCTTGTGCGATCTCAGTTCCCCAACCAGGGACTGAATCCAGGCCCTCCCCAGTGAGAGCGCTGTGTCTTAACCACTGGACTGCCAGGAAGTCCCTCCGATGAGCTCCTTGACTGAGCTTTTGATGCAGGCCCACATATCTCAGTCTCTTATCTTCTGTACCCTTCTGTGATTTAAGGATTTTCAAGGGTGAACAAGCTTGGGATGCAGAGAGCCCAAGGGGTCACCACACTAACCCACGTGGTCCCACCAATTTCCACTTCCCAACTTATGTTTACAGCTCGATCCGGGAGGCTCCCTTGGCCTGGCTTAGGGTGGAGCCTGTGAATTTCTGAGACTCAGGGCTCTGTTCAGAATTAAACCTCAGTGGCCTGGACAAGATTACCAGAAACATGCAGTGAAAACTCCTGAATTAGCACAGTCATCAAAACGAGGCTGCAAACATCCAGAAAGTTCCGGGGAGGGAAGTTTTGAAGGAGGCCCGGGTCAAGCAGCCTGCCTCCTTGAACATCTCAACACAAGACACACCCTGAAACAACCACATTTTGCTTTATTAGGCGTTCCATGGTAATATAACACAGAGTTCTTAAGGAATAATAAACACGAGACTTGTTTTGCTGTTTTTTTTTTTTACCATAATTATTTTGCCATTGAGACAGTGGTTACAAAAAAAAAAAAAAAGGTACTCTCCTGGCTACACATGTAATGAGCTTTAGCACTGAAAGTTCCTCCACTCGTGGGTCACAATCACAATTCCAAGGGTTAAAATCCATCTATGATTAAATCCTACATGGTTGAGAGCATCAAGTCACTGCAGTTACTCAGTTCTGAGACACTGTCGATTTATTTTAGCATTTACACATGACATTCATTTAACAGACACACAAAGCAAGCCAACAGGAAAACATGCTTACACAGCCTGCAGAAATCTTCAGGTTTTAAGTTGTCTCAAGGAAACAATCGAAAGAACCAAGATGAGCATCATGGAAAAACAGGAAGACTCAAGTGAAGAGAAGAGAGCTGCAAGTGTTTCTTAGAATTGAAACAAAAATCTTTTTTTTTTTTTTTTTGACTGGTTCAATTTCCCTCGCAGTGCAGGTGAGAAAAAAATAAAAAAAGCAAATATATTAAGTTAACCAATGATTCTTTAAAAGTGCAATTTCCTTTTAAAATAACAAATAAACAACAACACCAACAAAAAGAAATAAACCCCAACCATAACCCCAAAGGCAAAACGTGTGGAGAGACAAGTGTCGTGATGGGATGACCTATTTTTTGATGTTACGCTTTATGAAAGCAGATTTGGTTTTATAAAAGCCTGCAAACGTAACATAGCTTAGGAGGACCTGTAAACATGTTTGGAAGAAGATGCAACACAGCTCAACAAAGACAGGAATAGGCACAAGGCAGCTAGTAGAAAGTAGAAAGGGTGTCTGAGACCAGGAGAGGGTAGGGTGTGGACACAAGGTCGCCTGTGGTCTTTAAGAGGCCACACATCAAATTTACAAGTTTTTTTTCCCCCACCACAACTCTGACTCACAAAACAGATTTTTCCTCTTGCAAATTAAAATGGCCCCCCTTTTTTTTAAACTCTTCATTGAATTTGCCACAATATTGCCTCTGTTTATGTTTTGCTTCTATGGCCCCGAGCCATGTGGGATTCCAGCTCCCTGACCAGGGATCGAACCCACACCACCCACGTTGAAAGGCAAAGTCCCAAAACTGGACCACCAAGTAAGTTCCCTAAAATGATCTTTAAGCCAAACTTCCCATGGACTTTTTGAGTTTAGGAGACCTCCGTATATTGCATGTCTTTCTAAATAACTGGACAAGAAAAAAAGTTTTTTTTCTCCAAAGTGAGAAGCCCAGTGTGATCTGGTGCCCCCCAAAGATACTTAGATGGAAAACAACAGCCCTCAGGGCCAGACTCCATCAGCTCAGCACCTCTTAGCTGGTGGCTGGCTGGAGACTGGCTGGCTCACAAGTTTCGGGGGCTCGACTGACAGATCTGATTGTGTCTTTAGCCCAGTTAGCACTGCACAGGGAAAAACCTCTCAGGTCCTAGAGTCTCAGACTTCTCCAACATCTCGGCACCATTTGAGGTCTATTCTGGGCCGACGTGTGACAGCGTGGGTAACTCGGCCCTTCCCTGCATATGGGGATCATCTCAAACTCAAAGGCACGTCCTGGAGATGTGAGTGGATAGCACTGGTCTTATACAGACTAGGACAGCATCTTACAATGGTCGCGATGACAAAGCTCACATCTTTCCGGGCAGGTTCTTAGGACCACAGTACAACGGCAGACCTGGTCATTGGCAAAGATCATGGGAGGAAAAAAAAACAAAAACAGAGACGAGGGCTGGAGGAAACACAAAGAAAGAGCAGACATGTGAACGTATCCATGAATGACAAAGCAAGAGGAAGAGAGCGCGAGCAGAAAAGAGGTAAAGAGAGAAGGGAATCCTCAAAAGATTTCATCTGCAGCAGAAATCTAGGCCAGAAAGAAAACCTTTCCTTTATTAACAGTTGACCCAGAAGACGATGGAATGGCGGTGTGGATGCCGTGCAGCCTTTCAGGAGGGACATGGTGAGTCTGCCCACCACCCTGATTCAGCTTGATGGTTACACAATTGCATCATTAGGATGTCCAGTTCAAACCCCTTATAGTAATAATGAATTAGGCTTTCCAATTTTGTATTAAAAAAAAAAAAAATCTCCCCCCTCCCCTCCCCACCCCACCCTAAGCCCCAGAAAGAAAACTCTGCTAAAACTTTAAAAAGAAAAACGGCAGCTCTGGGCAATTCACTTTATCTTCCCCTCCCCTGACGACCAGGAAGATGATGACAAATACAACACAGGTTGGAGATGAGAAACACCCTCACTGTGATCTGCTTTGTTTCGCATGTCTGAGTGTTGGATGCGGTTCTGTGTACGGGCTTGGTGGATTCAGGGTGTGATATTCCTAGATGTGTAGGGAGGTGGGTGAGCAAAACAGGTGACTCCGGGTGAGGGACGGAGTGTGGGGGCTCGAGAGGGAGCCCCAGGAACTGGCTGCCCCACAGTAACTATCACAGGCTCCTAAAAGAAAAAAAAAAGGAAGGAAAGAAGGAAGGAAGGAAGTCTCAGAAAGTCCTCAGGTGTCCCATCCCCCGCTGGTGGCAGCCCTGAACTCTAGCCCAGGCTGGTGATGTTAGCACGGCCACCAGGAGGCGCCACGATGCGCTGGGTGGTGCGGCGGGGGATGTTGTCGTCAATCTGGGCACCTGGAGAGAAGAGAGAGAGGGTCAGACACAGTTTCCCAGACCCCTGCTTTAAACCGAAATAACGTAGCTTTTTTCCAAAAAATATATTTTTGTTGAAATACGGTCGATTTACAATGCTGTGTTAATTTCAAGTGTGAAGCACAGAGATTCAGTTAACATATATATCCATTCTTTTTAAGATTCTTTTCCTACATAGGTCACTACAGAATATTGAGCAGCGTTCCCTGTGCTATACAGTAGGTCCTTATTAGTTATCTAATTTATATACGGCAGTGTGCCTATGTTAATCCCAATTTTCCAACCTATCCCTCCCCACCTTTCCCCCTTGGGAACCATAAGCTTGTTTTCCCACATCTGTGACTCTATTTTCTGTTTTGTAACAAAACAACATAGCTTAGAAGAAAACCTGTCAGGCCCATTCATTGTCCTTCTAAAACCTCACCAGAAAGATAAGCTACAAAAAAAAGGATGGCCTCAAGTGGCCTAAGAATCACAGATGGTATAAAGTCGTCCTGGGAGAAACTAGTTGGATCCACTGCCTGAAAAGTAGAACTATACATAAACGAACACCACATTTCAGGCTTTTGAGAGACTCAGACTACATCCTGTCCCTATTCTCAGCAGGTCAATTAAGTGTGGCTTTTCCAAAGGGGGCTCTGTCCCCCTAACACTATTCATCTTCTATGTAATCATAGATAGGACTCATCACACTTAATATAGAATACAGTTAACATACAGTTAGCATATAGTTAATATAGTTCCCTGTGCTATAGAATAGGACCTTGTTGCTTATCCATCCTATGTGTAACACTTTGCATCTGCTAACCCCAAACTCCCCGTCCTTCCCTCCTGCTTCGCAACCACAGGCGTGTCCTCTATTCTGCGAGTCTGTTTAGGTTTCATACATATAGCAGAGGGAATATATTCAATATCCTATGATAAAGCATAATGGAAAAGCATATGAAAAAGAATGTGTATAACTGAGTCATCTTACTGTACAGCAGAAATTAAACATAAAGCTGTAAAGTGACTATACCTCAATATATATTTTTAGAAAAAGGTAGGAGTCATGATGGTCTTTATGTTTTGGGGGGCTTTTTGTTTTTGTAATAATTAAATTTATTTATTTTCCATTGAAGGATAATTGCTCTACAATATTGGGCTGGTTTCTGCGAAACATCAACATGAATCAGCCATAGGTATACCCATGCCCCATTTCTCGTGAGCCTCCCTCCCACCTCCTTCCCCATCCCACCTGGTCTTTATGTTTGAATGGCCTGCTGAAAGACAGCACAGATAGTATCATGCAACATTAGTAACATGGATTACGTTATGGAAAAACTAATGCTCATTAGTTTTAAATTCTTTGCAAATGGGTAATCTGTATATGGCACCTTTCTAAAACCCAGTATATCTGACAAAAAAATATATATTTCTGATTCACTGTTTCCTTAACCCATCAGAGAGATCCGGGTACATATCTGTGACTCAGGGAGCTAGAAAAATAGAAGATTTCTAATCACTGGCCAAATGAAGGATTGGAAAGAAGTTCAAGTAGAGAAGCTCTAAAGCTGGACTCTTTTCCTCTCACCCTTCCTGACATCACATATTTTATCCAGACTAATAGCTAACAATTATCAAAGGACTCAATTCTAAGCATTTTATATGCATATTAAGTCACCTAATCTTCACAACAATCCCAAGAGATAATTACCACCGTTACACCCATTTTACACAGGAGAAAACCAAAGCACAGCTTGCATCTGGGCTGCGAAGTTAAGCTGCTTAAACTCTAGACTCCACAAGCTGAACGACTCCAATTTACTGCATTTGTGAGGGAGAGGAGAGTCCTAAAACACCACAATATCCTTTTTCATGATGGACATACACATTGAAAAAATGTCCTCTAATATCCTGCTCAGTGGTAAAGAACCCGCCTGACAACGCAGGAGATGTGGGTTCGATCCCTGGGTCGGGACGATCCCCCGGAGAAGGAAATGACAACCCACTTCAGTATTCTTGCTTAAAAAATCCCATCGACAGAGGAGCCTGGCGAACTACAGTCCATGGGGTCGCAAAGAGTGGGACATGACTTACTGACAAAACAACAAAAACACTGTCCTGGATATAGTGTAGCCATCAGAACATTATATATGATATAGACTCGTGTCAAGATTCTGAAAGCCAACTCACCATCTGCTGTGAATTACATCTCTAGTGAATTACATCTTCAGGAGAATGGGTCTATCATTCATTTCCATTTCTTCTTCTTCTACAAGAGTGATGCCCGCCCCACCAGCAACATGGAGCAAAGCCCTGCAGAAGCAGGTTCTGACCCAGCCGTAAACATACCGGACAAGCTGAATCCAGACTGGTGCAGGTTCCGGACAGGTGGGGCCTGCTGCTTGGCCGGAGACGTCTTAGCCGAGGAGGCCGGAGTGACCGTCTTGGGTGTCACAGACACCTCACACACAGGTCCGTCGTACAGACCGCGGGGAACCCCTCTCAGCTCCGCCAGCTGCAGAACAAAAGAGCCCTTCAACTCAGGCCACATTCACAGAGGATACCTACCTGGCAACTGCCTGCCTGATGGGGAAGTAACAGGTGCCAGGATGGCCCTGTGAGATTTGGGGGAGGAGGGCTCTCTACGGAATATGGTAGGGACAGATATCAGCACACAGCCAGCACCCCAGCTCCAGTGCAAAGCTCCCTTAACGTGGGTCCCATAAAAACTGATGAGGGGCTTCCCCGGTGGCTCGGGTGGTAAAGAATCTGCCTGCAGTGCAGGAGACCTGGGTTCGATCTCTGGATCTGGAAGATCCCCTGGAGAAGGGAAGGGCTACCCACTCCAGTATTCTTGCCTGGAGAATTCCATGTACCCTGGCGGGCTACAGTCCATGTGGTCGCAAACAGTCAGACACAACTGAGCAATTTCACACACACACACACACACACACACAGGGAACTAGATCCCACAACTAAGACCAAATGAAGCCAAATAAATAAATAAATATTTAAAAAAAAACAAAATACTGATTAACAGTTCTTCCTATTTTCTCCCAAGGCACTTAAGCCTAAACTTCGGAGGAATTCCCAAACATGTTGTGAAGAGGGTCTGGTCACATGTTCAAGATCTGGCCCCAGAGCTTCCAATCTTACTTTCCCTTTAATTCCCTGACAGTTCCACCCATTCCCTGCCTCACGGTCCTCAAGCACCAGTGCTGGAGAGTATTCAACATGTCCTAAATACACTCTACATTTTCTATGCTCATAACTGTCTCTCTACCTAATTCCCTTGTTTCCACTCTGACTTGTACAACTTCTACTTAACCTTCAAGACCCAACTCAAAATGCCCTCTCCCCATGTTACTTTCTCTTATAACCGCAGCAACAGTCCCCTCCTCGAAGCCTCATCACAGCACACGCTGCAGTCTCACATCACTCTGGCTGGCTGCAGACATGCCTGACTCCTGCACTGGCATTCTGAATTCCAGGAATAAAAAGACCATGTTTTCCTTCTCCCTAAATCTTCCGTACTCACCTCAGTAGTTTGAGTCAGAGTGCTCCGTGTTAATGGAACTGAACTTTATCCAGGAGAGAAACCACTCCTAAGATCGGAGGTACTCACCCTGCTCCTTGCCTTGATACGCTTGTAAACGAAGTCAGGGAAGGGCTTCCGGGGGATGTAGCGTCCAGAGCCTTCGGTGACATGAAGGGTGCCATCCTCCAGGACAATCTTCCCCTGGCTGATGACCACCAGTGGGGAGCCACGGCACTCCATGCCTTCGAAGATGTTGTACTCAAGAGACTAAAAGGGAGGGAACATAGTAAACTTCAGAATTCGCCCTCCATCCTGGCAAAATCTCATCAGTCTGGCAAGACCCACCGCCCAGCGATCACTCAGAAGAAAGAAAAGCCCAGAGATGGGGTCCCTGTCCTGAATGAGCACTCACCAGGACTTCATCACTAGGTCTAAATTCTGTCTGAGTTTCAGCACACACACACACAAAACGAAGGGGTAAAAATCACGGAAGAGAAAATTTATACAGAAAAGCAGAGGGGTTTGTAAACACCACACGAATATAAGAAAATGATTCCTCGTATAAGCGGTGACTTTGCTCTCACTAACTCAGGCTCCAATCAGGTTAAAACCCCAAGAAGCCTTCTCTGACCAAGTTCTAAATTTAATCTTGAAATGAGCCATCCACGAGTCGGTTTTCCCACTGGTTCGCTTGGTTTTCCAATCAGTTAGCGATGTGGTTAAACTGAAGTTGCTAAATGAAAGGACTGTGGTAACTCCAGAGACATGCCGTCGATAAAACGCTTGAGGTTTAATTTCCCAACAAGGCTGCCATCCTTTTGGTTCCAAGCCTTTCATGGTGAAAGGGGGGATATATCTGTGTGCACTCTTGGAAAATATGTGGGGTCTCTGTCTGAGTGAGTTTGTTGCTGCAATAACACTAAAAGCTCCACGTGTCACAGCCCCACCCCACAGCCTCAGCTCACCCACCGCTCCTCCTCCAGATTCCAGACGCCTGCCCTGCTCACAGGTACAGCTGCCCTGGACCTGGAGAATTAACAGGCAGCTCCATGGCAACCCACTCCAGTATTCTTGCCTGGGAAATCCCATGGACAGAGGAGCCTGGCAGGCTACAATCTGTGGGGTTGCAAAGAGTGGGGCACGACTGAGCAACTAACAACAGTTTCCATCCACAAAAAGCAGCTGGGCTTCTGGGGAGATTCGGACCAGGTGATCAGTGCTGAAGAGTCAGTCTGCGAGCAGAGCTGACGCACTGCCATTCAGGGCAACATCGCCCTTAGTGCAGGGACTGGTGGGCATGAGGAGCCCCAGGCTGGCTCATCAGCTCACACGGGACCCATGGGGTTGCCTGAAAACAGCAACCAAACAGCCCTGCTCTGAGACTCAAAGGAGTAACCTGGAAGCTCCTGGAGGAATAAGAAGAGGCACCTGGGGGAAGGAAGGCGACTCTGCACATGGATTCCCAGGACCACAGTGTGTGCCCCCAAGCCCTTCATCAGTTCTAAGACACTGGTCCCTGAAATGAGCCTGTATCTCACAGCACAAGGAGCTGCCCAGTCAATGTCAGCCTAGGCTAAACTGGGCCCTTCCAGGGGATTGGAGTCAGCTTTTCCCACTGGCCTGGGGGGTTCCCAAACCTGTAACATGTTACAGGAAAATCTCACCCTCAGGTTTTTTCTGGACCGCTGATGGACACAGCTTGCATAAGCCCCAGCTTTCAATTCAGATTCTCTAAGCAGCCAGTTTTGCCCTCTCTGCACCAAAAGCCAGTATCAAGAAAGGCAAGCTTCTTTGCCACCTCTTCAGTACCTGGCAGATCCAGCTCTCATGTATCCCGTGCTCAGCACAAGCTGGCCTTTGGCAACACAGCATTTAATTTTAGAGCAGTATCCTGTTAGACTCCTCCTTCTGGACGTGCTTTCTTTCATAGCAGTACCCAAACAGACTATCTTAAAATTGGTGGCACCTTAGATCTGTTTGAAATCGAGAGTTGTATGACTCTGAGCTTTAATCTCGCCTCAGACCTTCGGTTTCTTCACCTGCCTCCTTCGAAAGGCTCATGTAGAGATGACAACCCAAGAAGCATCATATGGGAAAGAATTCTGTCTGCTCTGAAAGGACCTTCAGGAGGGTTATCCTTGAGGACTGAATCAAGTCCCAGCTCTTCCATGTCCCCCACAGTTAACTGTCCACACTCTGACAAGCTCCTCTCATGCCCTCCTATAGTCATGGAGACAACCCTGGCCATGGTGCCATCCGCCCCGGGGTCCACATCCCAGGTCTGCCATTTGCCAGCTGTATGACTTTGGACCAACTCCTCACACTTCTCTGAGACTCAGCTGCCTCACCTCTAAGGGGACACAGCCCACTTTACAGAAATGATGCTAGGATCACAAGAAATAAAAGGAACAAAAGCATCTAGCCCACTACTCAGCATTATGTTGGCATTTAGAAAATCCCTCAATCACTGTCTGGTTCTTTATTGCACTTTCCCAACAAGATTGCAAGCGGCAAAGACATCCTGAGATGCACATGGTGAGTTTAGTTGCCTAACAATGACTGATCTCATGGGACATCACTGGTGGTCCAGTGGTTGGGACTTTGCATTCCAATGCAGGGTGGGTATGGGTACAATTCCTGGATTGGAAAGCTAAGCTCCCATATGCCTCGTGGCCAAAAACATGAAACAGAAATGATATTGTAACATTCAAAAAAGACTTTAAAAATGGTCCACATCCCAAAAAAAAAAAAAGATGGATCTCAACACCCAGATCTATGGGTCACCTCCCATTTTTAAAGGGATGTGGAAGAACAAGTCCTATGGCTCTAAGTGACTTAAAATTAACAAGTTCAATGGTCAGTCACAACCTGGGGTGTTCAGAGCCTATACTCTGTCAAGGCCTTCCCTAGTGGCTCAGGGATTTGCCTGCAATGCTGGAGACCCAGGTGCGATCCATGGGTCAGAGAGGTCCCCTGGAGAAGGGAATGGCTGCCCACTCCGGTATTCTTGACTGGAGAATCCCATGGACAGAGGAGCCTGGTGGGCTACAGTCCATGAATTGCAAAGAGTAGGACACGACTTGAGCGACTAACACACACAAATACTCTGTCAAACAGTGAGGCAGCGAGACCTCGTCGCTTACCAGGTACAGACCTTTATAACTTGCGCCCACACATGCTTCCTAAAATGACTCATCTGGCTGGATGCCGGGCAAATCCAAGCAGAGGCTTAGTAGCAACAGGGCTGTCAACAAGAGTTAGCTAAATACTCCAAATTAAAGCTAATTAGCCCCGTGGTAGGAAATACTGTATTACACGGGGAAGGCCTCCTGCTAGTGTTCTCGTAGATAATCAGTGTTACACAAACATGCTTCCTGCTGGCTCTTTCAAAGAGGTTTGGATGGGCGAGAGGCACTGTTAGAAGTCATGATCTCCAGGACTGCCTGGAGGTAAAGGCAGGGCATTGCTGTTGAATGTCTGGAGGGCGGAATCTGTCTTCTTGGATCATCACTCCTCTACATCCTCTCTGCCAGGTTCAGAGCTTCCCACGCAGGTGCTCTAGTTAGGTCACCTGCAGATTACACAGTGAGTCCAGCCTGCTCTTTCCATCACCTCCGGGAAGGGGACTCTGTCAGGGAGAAACATTTTTCTCCCTCTGACCCTGACCAAGAGGCTGCGCACACAGTCTGGCAGGGAAAAGCCCTGGACAATTTTGGGTTCTAATTCTAGCTCCACCGCAAAATAGCTATGTAACGTTAGACTGGTCACTTAAGCTCTCTAAGCCTCCGTTTTATTTATCTTCCCGATTGAGATAATAATACCATCCCTTTATTGAGAAGGCCAAATGAAAGGGTAAACGGCGCTATGATGCTGAAGGCACAAGAAGAGGTAGGTTCACAAGGCAGGAGCCTCGGTCTCTGTTGTCATTCTTGTTCAGCCGCTCAGTCGTGTCCGCCTCTTTGAGACCTCGTGGACTGCAGCTCACCAGGCTTCCCTGCCCTTCACTATCTCCCGGAGTTTGCTCAAACTCACGTCCAGTGAGTGAGTGATGCTATCTAACTGTCTCATCCTCTGCCGGCCCCTTCTCCTTTTGGACCCGAGGCCCCCTGCCCATAAAGAAGCCAATGATGGGCCCCCAGGAGGTCATGACCTAAGTCACCAGTAGGGGCCGCTGTCAGGCTCTGCTGCGGAGCTAAACCCGCCAGTGGGGAAGAAGGGAAAATCCACCATTAATACTGACAGCTGAGCAGACTTCCTTAAAGAACCCACCCACCCAGCACCCACGGGTGCTTGTGCAGCCCAATCCCCTCTGCCCACATAGGAAAGAGGATTGGGATTTAGCTAAGAATCCAGCAGTGTCCTGGAGAAATGCCAGAAGCCCACCGTGAGCTGGCCCTTGGAGCAGGCGTCCATACTTGCTGGCCCAGGACACCTGGAGTGAGCAACCTAGAGTCAGATTCCTCACTGAGTCAGCTTTCAGTTTAGAAGTTTATCTCAAAAAGCCTCATCATTCAGTAAGAATTCACTTCAAGAATCATACAGGGGAATTCCCTGGTGGTCGAGGACTCACTCCTGGTTAAGACTCACTGCTGAGGATCTGGCATTCAATCCCTGTTAGGGAATGAAGATCCTATAAGCTGCGATGCTCAGCCAAAGAAAAAGTCATAGAGGTTTCTGACATGAAAAACTCTGTTCTATACCTGTTTCTTTTCTGAAGTTCTCCCTTTTGCCATTTCTATATTATACAGACACACACACACATTTTTAATGAAGAACCAATGGTATCTACATCTCCATCTAATACCTGCTGACTTCACAGAATCACAGGATACTCAGGGTCCTCGTCAAACCCCTCTTCTCAGCCAACAAGCCCAAGACATGACACGAAGTCACCTCCCCAGGCTCCTATTACCAAGACAGGGCACCCCCAAGCTCCGCCATCTAGACCAAGAGCCAAGAGATAACCCCAAAACTACGGATCCTAAAATCCTGATCACGCCTTCCAGGGTATTTCTTCTATTTCTTCCAAATCAATTCATGCCTTTAGGACATAAGAGTATCTGCCTTTTAGGCTTCTGTATGGCCACACTGATAATGAGAAAGCAGTGGCCTCAAAGAATGAAAGTGCCGAGCAGGCATCTCAGGAGTGGACATTTGAATGTTTTATTTGAATCCCTTGCACCAGGGGATGTCAGGAGAGATGATGCACTGAACTATTAAACTGGAATGCTGCCTGACTTTAGAAGCTTCTGAGATCCAGACATGATGCTAGAGGCTCTGAAGGTCCAGAGATAGAGACTTTCTAGCCATAGACAGGCCACTGAACTCCAAAGTGATGATAAGATTAATGGTCATGTTGACCTCACTAAAGAGAAGGAAAGAGCTATTTTTTTCCCAGCAAATTGCAAGTTATAACATATCCTGGGGAAAAGTTCCTTCCGATCACAGCAAGTCCTTTTCATAAATCCTGGGGACTGTCCCTGCCTCTGTCCTTCTTTGAGACTGGTCTGGATGGGGTCCACGTCGTGAACAGGGCTTACGCTGTTGTGGGTCTTGGCAGAGATGGTCTTCACGCTGTCGGGGTCCCAGATGACCAAGTCAGCATCAGACCCCACAGCAATGCGGCCCTTCCGGGGGTACAGGTTGAAGACTTTGGCAGCATTGGTGCTGGTCACAGCCACAAACTGGTTCTCATCCATCTTCCCAGTGACCTGAGGAGGACAACACACACACACACGTGTAAGAAAAGCAAGTTAAAAGGCTGAAGGGTGGAAGGCTACTTAGCAATAAAAGGAGACACTTTGGATACACATAACTTGGATATTAAGGGCATTATGCTGAGTTGAAAAAAACAATCTCCAGGGACTTCCATGGTCGTCCAGTGGTTGGAACTTTGCACTTCCACTGCAGAGGCCATGGGTTCGATCCCTGGTCAAAGAACTAAGATCCCACATGCCCTGACATGGCCAAAAAAAAAAAAAACAGTCTCCAAAGGTCACATACTGCATGACTTCATTTATAGAACATTCTCAAAATAACCAAGTAATAGAGATGGGCACACCAGGGGTGAGATGGAGATTCCTCCGCAGGTTAAGGGTGGGAGCAACTATAAAGGAACAGGAACATGGGGGTCTCTGTGATGATGGAGGACACCTCTATCTTGATTGCAGTGATGGTTACATGAATCTACATATGACAAAATGACACAGAACTAGACACATGCACCACACCACTGTCATTCTTCAGGTCTGGAAATCACACTCCAAATATACATGAGCTGTAACTATTAGCAGGTGAAGGGTACACGGGACCTTTCTGTCCATGCTGTCTTTGCAAATAATCTGAAAGTATAATTATTTCAAAGCAAGAAGTATTTTTTTTTTAAAAAAGCTGAACGGGCCTCAATGCCTCTTTAGGAAACATGATTTGATGTGAACGGTTGTTCTTTCCAAAGATACAGGCACAGACCTCAGCTCCTAGTCCAGCCAACCTAGAAGTCTCAGCGCCCCATCCCTGCAGCAAACTCTGGATGTCGATCAAACTCCCCGCACATCCTTCCCCCTACTTTCTCATCTCTACCATGTGTACTTCGTGTCCCTTTAAATGTGGGATTTGAAGAGATGAATGCACTGTCTGTTAGAAAGCCCACTCTAAATCCCATAGAAAAATGGGCAAAGGATATGAGCGGGTTGGAAGGGGAAAAAAAATAAAAATGGCTGAAAGCAAATGAAAGAAATATACATTTTAATAAGTAACTGAAGAGATTCAATGTAAAACAATGAGATGAAATTAAGTGATGCCTTGGGTTTTCTGATGATAACCCTGATCTGGACCTGGTAGGAGGAACTAGGGAATGCCATCTACTGCTGTCAGCACACAAATTTGGCGTGACCTTTCTGGAAGGAACTCTGACAAGAGATATGAAAAGCCTTAAAAATATGCATACCCTTTGACCCAAAAATACCACTTTTAGAAGCTTCTCCTATAAACATTACTAAAGAAGTGTCCAAGGATGTACCTACGAGGGTGTTCATCCCAGAAGTAAAATCAGAAATAACCTAAATAGTCAACCAAAGAATTACAAATGAATTATAGTTCAGCATCAATGGAGGAGTTAGCTTTCGAAAACCAAGTTTTTCAAGTACGTTGAAGGATGTGCAGAATTTTTATACTACATTAATTGTAAAAGATAGGCTACAAAAGAGTTTATATGATACCTGTGTTACACATTCACTCATACATCATTTACGCACATGTGCACTCTCTCACTAGCAAAAAATTTAAAAGACATTCACCAAAATGTTCAGTGTAATTGGATCTGAAACATGATGTCATGAGTGAGTTTTACTTACTTCTTTATTCTTTTTGGAATAAGGAAATACATAGTTTACATAACTGAAAAAATTCCATAAGGTTTTAGAACTTTAAAACCCATAAGGGTTTAGAACTTCAGGTTTTAGAAAACCTAAAGTTGTTACATTTTAAGACATTAAAAATAAAAAGCCCCAAAGATTCCTCAAAGGTCAATGTATGTTCAAAGCAGGCCTGTCAAAAGCCTGTAGTGAGGATAAATGTTAAACCCAGAGAGTCCAAAAACCATTTTAAGGAAACTGAGCCTATCTCCAAGAGCAGGAGATTAAGTCACCAGGGTGTGAAGGAAGCTTTCTCTTGATTGATCACAAGAGTCATATTTTAAAGATCGTCGTGGTTTTTTTTTTCCCCAGTCTTTCCTGGTTCACAGATAAAAATAATGACAAATACATATGGGTATTTAAAAAGAAATAACCTATGGGGAGTGGTCTTAGACTTCCAAACCTAATATTATCACACAAATACTGGTTTCTAGAATTTTCTCAACTGCCATTTCAAGGCTCGAATGAGACCAAAGGCCTCGGATCAGGAGGCAGGAGAAAGCCGAGCCCTGCCCACCACTCAAGAGACCACTGCGGTGAGACCACCACTCCTTACCACAGCCTTACCCTACTGCTCAGAGACCACCGCCGTGAGCCCAGACCACCACCATGAGCCCACCGCCCCTCACCACAGCCTTACCCTACCGCTCAGAGACCACCTCCGTGAGACTACTGCCCCTTACCACAGCCTTGTCCCTACTGCTCAGAGACCACCACCATGAGCCCACCACCCCCTACCACACCCTTACCCCACCACTCAGAGACCACCACTGCTTACCACAGCCTTACCCCACCGCTCAGAGACCACCGCCCCTTACCACAGTCTTACCCCACCGCTCAGAGACCACCGCCATGAGCCCACCGCGCCTTACCACAGCCTTGTCCCAGATGACAGACATCCGCTCCTCCGTGCCGTTGGTGCCCTCAGGGATCAGGGTGAAGTTGTCCTTTCCGACAGCCTTCTGGGCCGTGTTGAAGGTACAGTGAGCGCTGCCGGTCACCTGGAGATCTCCACTACAAGGAACACACAGCACCAGCTTTTTACTGATCTTTACCTCAGATCATCCTTGAATATATTTTTTTCACATGTCCGGCCACTGAAGGTTTTTAAACCAGTCATCCTGCCCCCAGGAGACAGGAAATTCAGGAAGACGTGGCCTCACATTAAAGCTTCATTAAATGCTGGGTCTCTAAGTCTGTTTCATGAGGTGTCTTATGAGTGACACTACACACAGTGAAACCCTTTCGCTACCTCATTCATCCCCTTTGGTTGACTTTCAAGATGGCCCTGGTTTTTAACCCAGGATCCCCTTGAAAGGATCAAGATGCTAACCCCCTGCTCCCATCCAGCAATCCGAGTTTGGAGGACAAGGTTTCTGCTGGCAAGCTGGCTTTGGCCAGCCATACTGGAACCCACCGGGTCAGCCTCGTCCGAGGAAAGACCAAGAACAGGAGACGGGAACAAGTCGCCGACACTCACCATGACAGCAAGGAGTTCAGAAAGTCTGGGGTGGTCGGGTCAGGGCTCAGGGGCGGGGAGGTGACAAAGGCAGCAGCCTTGGCCCAGTTCTTGCTCCAGTAGTGAGAGCCGTCGGTCCCCAAGCTGGCAGTGATGGGCTCGCCGTATACCACGGTTCCTGACAAAGAGAAGGCAGAGCTGAGCCCAACACAGAAAGGCAGGGAGGGAGCCTCCGCTGCCGGGAGTCCCTGCATCCCCAGCAGCACGCCTCAGGTTCAGCACCCCTTCAGAGGAGGAGCCAGCCTGTCTCAGAGCTGAGGAAACGGGTGTCTGGGGAAGTCAAATACCCCAGCCATCCAGTCACCGATACAATAAGTGCTCCTTAAGATTTCACCTTTGACCCCTGCTCTTCTTTTCTTTTTGTTAATTTTTATTTTATATTGGAATATAATTGATTTACAATATTGTGTTAGTTTCAGGTGTACAGCAAAGTGATTCAGTTATCCACATACACGTATCTATTCTTTGGATGGCGCTAGCGGCAGAAAACCCGCCTGCCAATGAAGGAGACCTAAGAGACACAGGTTCGATCCCTGGGTCGGGAAGATCTCCTGTAGGAGGACACGGCAACCCACTCCAGTATCCTTGCCTGGAAAATCCCACGGACAGAGGATCCCGGCGGGCTACAGTCCGAAAGGTCGCAAAGAGCTGGACACGACTAAAGAGGCTGCGCACATATACACACACATTCTTTTTCAGATTCTTTCCCCATAAAGGTCATTACAGAGTAGAGTCCCCTGTGCCGTAGAGGTCCTTGCTGATTATCTATTTTATATACAGTAATGTGTATACGTTAATCCCTGGCTTCCCTTGTGGCCCAGATGGTAAAGAATCTGCTTGCAATGCAAGGGACTCAGGTTCGATCCCTCAGTTGAGAAGGTCCCCTGGAGAAGGAAATGGCAACCCACTCCAGTATTCTGGCCTGGAGAATTCCATGGACAGAGGAGACTGGCGGGCCACAATCCATGAGGTCGCAGAGTAGTAGGACATGACTGAGTGAATAACACTTTCATTTCACTTTCATATGTCAATCCAAGCCTAAGTTGATTGCTTCCCCAAACCTTGCTCTACTAACTCAACCCACTCTCCCTTAGAGAACCCAAACATTCTACCTTCTATTCTGTTGATTCCCAAATCTGTTAACAATCTTCAGCTCAGACTGCATTCAAGCACCCAATCCCAAGCACCACCTAGACTCTTATTTGGGATGATCCAGGGTACCTCACACTTGACCTCACTGCTCACCAAACACACCCCCTGGCCTGCTCTCCCAACATCTCCCAGTCCTTTTCCCAGTGTCTAGCTATGACTAATAGGCTGAGACAGAAAATCAGATGTGACATCAGTGGGATGAAGTATTTGAGAGCAAGTATACAGCCCTCTACATCTGCCTGGATCCCTGAGTCACCATTCTCAGGGCTCCCAGATTCATAGCAGACTTTGTCAGAAGGAGAAGTAAAGGACTTCACGCAGTTACCTTACTGAGATTTCAAGGTTTGCAGAAGTCTAGCCCAACTCAATATACTGTCAGGAAAGAATGTTAATTTCCTGGTGCTTAACTCATGTCCTCTTCTCTAGCCACTCATGGCCAGGCCAGAAAGTTGGAATCATTTATGACCATCGAGAGCCAATGCTGTAATGCCTTACACACATCCGTTCCTTTCCACTCTGCATGGTGGTGGTTTAGTCACTAAGTCGTGTCGAACTCTTATGACCCCATGGACTGTAGCCTGCCAGGCTCCTCTGTCCAGGGGCTTCTCCAGGCAAGAATACTGGTGTTGGTTGCCATTTCCTTCTCCAGGGGATCTTCTCGACCCAGTAATCAAGCCCGTGTCTCCTGCATTGCAGGCAGATTATTTACTGACTAAGCTAGAAGAGAAGCTACTCTGCATACGTTCCCTTAAATCAGGGCTTCATCATTTCTCCCCAGCTCACTCCAATAGAGGGCTTCCCAGGTGGCGCTAGCAGTAAAGAAACTGCCTGCCAATGCAGGAGACAAAAAAGATGCAGGTTCGATCCTGGGTCAAGAAGATCCCCTGGAGGAGGAAATGGCAACCCACTCCAGTATCTGCCTGGAGAACCCCATGGACAGAAGAACCTGGTGGGCTACAGTCCACAGGGTCACGAAGAGTCAGACACGACTGAAGCGATTTAGCATGCAGCATGCACCCTCCAATAGAACCTCCCAGTCAGAGTTCGGATTGTTTTCTGCTTTCCCCACCTCCTTCCCTGCCTCTGCATCCATTCTCCACAGCACTTCCAGGGTGATTTTCCTAAAACATAATCTTCATGGGCCATTCTCTTACATAAAGACCTCTGAAGGGATCCTTCTGCCTTCAAGGATAGAAATGAACTTCTCACTGAAGCATCTCATGCCTTCCTTACACAGCCTTACAACAAAGCTGGTCTCTCTTTTAACACTGTCCAAAAACTCAATCCCAGCCTCCACTCCAATAATCCAATAAGCACCCAGTTTTAAATTTTTTTATTTTTCACACAAATATCATATGATATCACTCATATCTAATGTTTTAAATCTAATGTTTTAAAATCTAATCTCTTAGATTTTAAAACATTAGAACCTAATGTTTTAAAAATGACACAAATGAAGCTATTTACAAAACAGACTCACAGATCTCAAAAACAAGCCTATGGTTACCAAAGGGGAAACATGTAGGAGGGAGAGAGATAAACTGGGAGACTGGGATTAACATGTACACTCTACTACATATAAAAATAGATAAGCAACAAGGATCTACTATATACCATGCGGAACTCTACTCAATATTCTATAATAACCTATATGGGAAAAGAATCTGAAAATGAATGAATGTGTAGGTTTAACTGAATCACTTTGATGTACACCTGAAACTAACACAGCACAGTAAATCAACTGCACACCAATACATTATTTTTTTAAATAATAGATTTTTTTACTTTTCTACTTGATGGAGATACCCTGAGGAAAATGACTCTGTACTCAATAACTGTGTTGAACTGATTGAAGGGTGTGATGTTTTATGAAGTCAAGGGATCCGAGCTGGAATTTGACCTCAGACCAGCCCCACCACCAGCAGGAATGCACCTCTTCCACCTCCTCCCACTGTGGGGCTCCCGCACCCCCACAGTGGTCCTGCTAACCCGGCCCTTTTCTCCAAACCCAGCGTCCTCAAGGCCAAACACTTCTCAGTCTGGAATGCGTCTCCTTTCCTCTGCTCGGCCTTTCCTGAGGCCTTATCTCTTGATAACGCAGCACAACACCCACTCTGGGACAGTGGCTGCCTTGCGAGCTGGCCCTGGGAGCTGCCCCCATCCCTCCCATCCCCCCCATCCCCCGCCCCAGACTCAGGAATCTCACAAAGAACACTCTGTTCCTCTGGGGAGTGTTAGAGGCCTGGCAGGCAGCTCACTTGAGAAAGTCAGTGACAATCCCCAAGCAGGAAGGAGGGCCCCAGAACATGGGGACAGCCTCACCCTAAAGGAAGCCCCAGGAAGAGGGGGGCCAATGCTCAGAATCACCTGGAAGGTCCCCGGCATTCCTGACCTACTCAGAGCTTCCCAGGCAGGCAGGATGGAATCCAGGGAGCCGCAGGGCAGGTGCATAGCCTGTTTCAGCTCATCCCAGAGCAGAAAAACCTGCATCCCGAGAAAGTCCTGGCTGTCGTAAGGGATGTGTGTGAAATGCAAATGCCAAGCAGGCCCCCACAGCCCCGCAGGCCATGGTTTTTGGTTCACGCATCAGCAGAAGTGGCTGAGCTGAGGGTGGCCCTGCCGACCCACCCAGGACTAGAGGTTCCACTGGCTCTTGTTGCTGTTCAGTTGCTCAGTCCAGTCTGACTCTTTTCGACCCCATGAACTGAGGCACGCCAGGCTCCTCTGTCCTTCACTGTCTCCCAGAGTTTGCTGAAATTCATGTCCATCAAGTTGGTGATGCTATCTAACCATCTCTTCCTCTGTTACCCCCTTCTCTTATCTGAGCATAAAGGTGAGGTCTGGGTGAGGCCCTAGGAAAACAGAAGATCTGTAACCTTATAGGTTTCTGAGGATTTCCCTGGCAGTCCAGTGGCTAAGACTCTGCACTTCCAATGCAGTGGGTCTGCGTTCAATCCCTGGTCAGGGAATTAGATCCCATATGCTGCAACTAAGAACTTGCATGCCTCAACTAAAAAAATCCCACATGCCACAATTTTAATTAATTTTTAAAAATTCAGTTAAGATTAAAATTTTTAATTAATTTTAAAATTAAAATGTTTAATTAATTTAAAACTAAATTAAAATTAAATTTTTTAATTAATTTAAAAAAGAAAAAAAGGTTTCCTGGCTTTGTCGACCTGAAACTAATCAAGAGACAGAACTGCCTGGAGAAAAAGAGAGCTGCCAGTCTGTGGAAATCCTTGGACGAGCATCAACGGTTTCTTCCTGTAACTCACTATTGTTCATCCTCTCCTTGATCTGCACTTCAGTCCTGCCTTTAGAAACCTGAGGACCAGGAGGGGCCGGTTCCCGGAATGCATCCTGCAAGTGTGAGCGCCCTTGACCTCAGCCTTCATCTCACTCCACAAAACACAACTCAGGTGGGGATGCGGGAGCTGGTGAAGGAGCTGAGGCCCATCCGGTCTATGCATAGGCCACACAGCTCGCCACAAGGGAATGAACTCGGCCTTCAGCTTCTGCAAAACCCAGAACTGGGTCGGAGTTTCAAGGCCATTGCTGACCAGATCTGCCTCCTTAGCCTGAGGCTGAGCCAGGACTCCTGGGCCAGGGTCAAGTGAAGATGGGGGACTTGGAGAAAGAGGAAGGCATCTTTGCAGCTCATTCCTGCTTTGCCCTGTTCAGGGATTCAGAAGTCCTTGCTGTTTTTGCGTTTTCTCCTCTTTAGCCCCCAAAGACAGGGCAGAAGCTACATCACCCTAGAGGAGGCCTCTACCTCTGCCCATTTTATGAACACTGTACCTGAGACAGCCACGGATGGACTTCCAGACCCCAGCCAGGCCACAGACACCAAGGCACTGCATCCCGGAAATAATTACCACTAATAATAAACCACAAACTAGGCTTCACTGGCCTTTCTACACGCCTCCAAATACACTGCTTATGTTTTCTTGGCAGCAAGTTAGA